CGGTTTAGCTTCCTGTTTAATAATATGAAAAATATAAAAGAGTAGCATAAAAATTCTTTGATAAATTGTCATCTGCCTTGGAGTTCAATTATTCTATAAGAATGAGGATAAACAGATATTGTGGCTATTATAACAAACAATAGAACCGTAGAATTCTTAACGAAAATTAAACATTAAAAGATTAGAAATTTGATATAGATCCCAATGATGTTCGTTCTGCAAAATCTGACGATTTAATTAAAAATCCGATGTCAGAGGAAAGACTCCGCTTGCCCCATTTCGTTTATTTAAATAATAAACGCTAAGGTGAACATGTGGTTTGAAATTTGACCCGGATTTTCCTCGTGCATTCAAACCACCATCTGTTCAATTGTCAACTAAAACCGAAGATCTCGAAATTTCATTCCCTTTCCTCCAGAGCAACGTCTTCGAAATTTTCGAATTTCGAAAATTTCTTTTCATCTATCTCTCTTTCATGAAAATTTCTTTTCATCTATCGTCATACCATCTTTTAAAATATCCTGAATACAACTATTAAAACGTCGATAGGCATAAATTCTGTAGTGAAAAGTTCTCCCTATGTATGCGACATCCAGATTTAGTCTTTTGTCTCTTCATCATAAAAAAATTGAAAAAAACATCAGCTTCGTGTTAATAATTTAGCGCTAATTATTCCACTCACAGTGAAAAATAGTTGCCCAATAAAAATTGTACAAATATAAAAAACTTCATTACAAAAAAAAAAATCATAGGTCACATTGTTGTTGAAAAAACGTAAATAACATGGAATTTCTGCATCTTTGTTGTTAAGGAAAATTATAAAATTAAATTTAATTACCTACAAATCGCCTCCGTGCCATGACGTCCCATAAAAATCCCTCAATTAAATCCCCGATGCCTCCATGTGTCTGATTTCATCATGCCCTGATGCCCTGAAACCCCAAAAATTGCCATGATCTCAATTTTCACATGAACATTTTATATCCTGACTCTATAATTACTGGAAAAAAAAAAACAAATCGAGTGAAATTTACCTCGACAACCGCATTGCTGTGTCGTCAACAAATTTCTCCACACTTTTTTATTCTATTAATCCACACCAACAAAATCACAAACAAACTTTTCTCGAATCATTCTTTGATACTCCTGTAATTCACTTGAGAAAAATAAATCGCATTGTTTCTCTTTGATTAGTATTACAAGAAATTATGTCCTG